TCAACACCGGACAAAAAAACTGATCAACTGATGGATTTGATTTTTGGTTTGAGGGAATTGAAACTGAGATGATTTGACCATCATCACAACCATTATCAGATGGCAATGAGATTTTGTCTCCGCCTGCGCTACAGCATCACAAAGGTAAGCAGATATTTTTTCTGGAGAAATAACTGCACACGAGGCTTTGATATGTGAGAAGAGGAGGTGAGGTTTTCCGTGGTTGAAGACTTGTTTGCAGTAGGTTATACACTTTGCTTGTTGTCTTGGTCTGGTCAGTTCTGATTGGTGGCATAATGCAAGTAATGTAGGACTTGGTGGAAATTTGGTCCAAAAACAAAGCAATCTCTGACTTCTATGTAAGTCTGGCAGACTGGCAGTGCAAAAGCCACCAAGTCTAATCGACATTTTTCTTCCCTAGGCTGTCAGGAGACCGCCTGACAGCCTCTCATACCATGTACAGAGGCCAACTCTCATGAACCTTCCCATGAGATCCTCCCAGGCTCCCTGTAAAAATTAGGGTTAGGAAGGTGCGCGCCCACCCCAATTTTCAAGATTTTGGGGGCGCCGGGTGCGCGCACCCGGGGCGCGGCGCCTCAGGCGCGCACTTGGCCTTGGCGCCGTCAACCCTAACTCGCAGACTCGCAGTGTGAAGTCTGAGCTGATTGACAATTATCAAAAAACATTTTCTAAATATCAGTTCCTGATCGAAAAGAAAAATAAAATAAAAGACATCCTCATCCATTTGAATTTTTATAAGCAGCTGAAAATCGATTTCTATCTGCATTCCAATTCCAATCAGCTGTTGTATCTTCCGGTTTCTGTTTGACGCTAGTATTGCGATGCTTGATCCACTCGATCCATCCTGTTTGACTGATCACAATCACTCCGAGTTGGCGACCGGCGAAATTCAGCAAGAAGCAGTCCAGCAGCCTACCACCCCAACAACGCCCATCAGGAGGAGCAGGACCGGCAATCGTAGGTCGATCGGCTTGACTCTTTCTCCAAAATCCTCGGTCGTCCCGGTCGACTGTAATTTACCAGCCAATCCTAGTCATAGCAAGCTCTCAGTCTCGGCCAGTTCATTCAAACGCCGCTCGCTCAATCTCGCCAACCTCCTCCGCCACCCAACCTCGATGCGCAACCAGAGCTCATCGACCACCGGGCACAGGTCCCCTACCAATCCAGAGCATTATCGGCAGCCCTTCCCACCCGTCACCCCCATCCATCCTACCCCGCCCCCACTGCCGAGCAGGCCGACCAACCTCAAGAGCTCCTCCTCTGCCAGGAAATCGCTACCACCCAACCTCCAGCTTCGCCCAGGCCCTCCTCCCGAGTCACCCGTCACCTGTCCGTGCTGCAGTCGATCGATCACTCTCGATCACTCCCGGCTTAGTCAGCCTGCCCGGTGTCCTACCTGTGCGATCATCTGGGATTCACCCGACTCCTTCTTAGTCAGCCCGAAGATTGATCAGAGCACTCGGTCGGATGAGGACCGGCTTTATACGAGTCAAACTAGCACAGCTTCCGAACATCCGGCCTCAAGCATCCTGACGATCACCGAGGAACAGGTGGCACAACTGCACAGCCTCTCACTCAGCCATGAGCAACTCGAGAGCTTCGAGCGAGATCCGAGTGCATTCCTGGCTTCCGTCAGCCCAAACTCAGCTCTCGACCGGCTTATCAAAGAGTTCGATCGACTGGCCCTTGAACTGCTTACCAAGCTATTCTCATCAATCGCCAACCTGTCAACCGCCTTCTTAGCTAAGCCAACCACAGACAAACAACCCAAACCGAGACACCAAGCGCATCAGGCAGTGCAGATCGAACTGGTCAACAGCTTCTTCCAGGCTATATGCGGTCGTCCGACTGGCAGGGATATCCTGCTCTCACAGCTCTACGGCTTCTTGAATCGTCCCGGAACTCAGTCCGTCTCTATCCTCGCAAGCCTCAAGTCGCCCAACGAACCTCAGCAGACGGTTGATGACCTCATCCAATGGGTCTGGGCTATCGTCCTACTACAAGTTGAGCCCCCATTGTCTATTCTCTGTCTATGTCTATGCCAAAATCTAACAGCAATCCTTCTCAGTGTCCTATCCTATCGCCCAGTTGTAAGATTGCTCCTCAAAAACGTCTGGTAATCACCGCCCGGACACTTGGTCTGTAAGTCATCAACAATTCATTTTTCTCAAGAAAAAACAATACTGGATTGGAACTGATTTCAATCTCTACAAAAAAAACACAGCATTTCATCCTTGCCGAATCGATTGCATCATCGTCTGGTCTCATTCTATAGCCATCCAAGCTGTCCAACCAAATTGTTTGCAGAGAAAGTCGAATTAGTTAATGTATTCATCAGTGATCGAATCCGGCATTTTTTGCAACTCCCAGACGGGTTTGGAGCCGGCTTGGAACCCCAGTCTGTCCATCATCTCCCCAAATATATGTATGATTGGTCCTTGTTAGCTTCAAGTAGAATGATGGCTCTACTATGTCAGTTTAGTCTCCCTAAAAGAGAACAAAAGAAAGTATCACTGATCAGATTCTTCCTCAAAATCCAGGTGGATCTAATCTCCAGTCACGCAAGTTACCACCAACATCGTTCTATAACGTATCCACAGATTTAATTCAACCGATCGATCTAGTGTACGATTTTGAATGTTGGGAGAGCAGAAAGTCATCATATACACTATGCGGCTATCCATGTCTACTGAGCATGTCGAGTAAGATTTCCTTATTGACGTACGATGGAAAACGTCAGATGGGACTAGAAGCTCGTCAAGCATTCATTGATAGTCTCTTGGGAAGGTCTCTTGCCCCTCCGGTTCTGCCGCTCTCTATTAGAAGGTCTCATTTGGTCGAGGACTCGCTCCGTCAAATCGCTAGCTCTCAATCCGAATTGAAGAAATTACTCAAAATCACCTTTGTTGATGAGGAAGGTGTGGATGGTGGAGGGTCAGTTAATTCCAGACTATCTAACTTCTTTTGATTGGTCGGTTCAGCGATTGACGTCACCGATCAACGAACCTTTACAGATTAAAGAAAGAGTGGTTCCTGTTGTTAATCCGTCAGTTGGTTGCACCTGAGTATGGAATGTTCCTACATGATCAAGATCAACATCAAATATGGTTCAACCCAGCCAGTCAAGAGCTTGAAGAGTTCAAATTAATTGGGACTGTCTTAGGCTTAGCGATTTACAACCGAGCTACCTTAGATTTCGGCTTGCCCTTAATAGGCTATCGAAAGTTATTAGGGTTTTCAGTCAATCGATTATCCGATCTAGCCACTCTAAAACCTGAAGTGGCCAAAAGCTTACGTTGGTTATTGGAATATGATGGTGACGATTTCGAGGAGATCTGTAGTCGTAACTTTGTCGGTGATTATGATGCTTATGGAACGGTGGTTGAAGTTCCATTGATCCCTAATGGTGAAAATATTCCGGTTACCAAATCAAACCGAGCCGAATTTGTCAAACTGTATTGTGATTATATCCTGAATAAATCGATCGAGAAACAATTCCAGGCGTTCTCTGAAGGCTTTAATTCGATTGCTGCAGGGAATGGGTTGAGTTTATTCCAACCAGAAGAGATTGAACTCTTAGTGATCGGATCGACCTACGATTCTAAACTGGCCATCGAGGATTTAAAAGCCATCACGCATTATGAAGGCTTTCAACCGACCGATTTGACCATTCAATATTTTTGGATCGTCGTTGAGAATTTCGGCTTCGAAGATCAGAAGAAATTATTACGGTTTATCACGGGCACTGATCGGATTCCAGCCACCGGGATTTCAGGCCTTAATCTCAAGATCACCAGATCCGTTCGCTCTTCGCTGGATAGTAACCCTACCAATAACAATCGTCGTCGTCGTCATCTTTCAAATCAACTCAGATCAATGGCTTTCAACGAACGATTGCCTGAAAGTCACACTTGCTTCAATCAACTCATCTTGTCTGATTTCTCTTCTGTGCAATCTCTCGATCAGAAACTTCGTCTAGCTATCAACGAGTCTCAAGGGTTTGGATTAAATTAAGCCTTTCCAAAATTATCTGGATTCATCCATTCCATGTACAGCGTATCTCCAGCTCATTTCTCTCTCTCTCGTAAACCTCTCACAATCATCATTGTATTCTCTCTGAAATCCTTCCTCATGTACCATCCACTCCTTACCACCATTCCATTCTTTCTCTTCTTATCTACCTATCAATCAATCTGTTGAAAGTGTTTTCATTAGATAAATATATTTATATACGTCGTTCACTGCACTGGCTAAACATCAGCCGTCTATCTTGTATTCATTTCTTTTTTGCCTGTTCTTATATGTATACATGCTTAGCAACCTTTCTCATCTGCATCGTTCTCCTTTTTTTTATCATCCTTCTTTCATGATTTGTTGGATTTTCAGCATGGTTTTATTTTTGGTTTTGCATTTTTTTTTTCAATTGGTATGATGAGGTTGATTTTTTCTTCTCTCATTGTAATGTTTTTTTCTCTCATTAATTCATTTGTTGACCTTTTTTCTTTTTAATCTTTGGACTTCAAGCATGACACCAACAAAATTAAAATCTCTCACTGCATATATTATGTATCAGTTTTCCTGTTCCTCTTTCTCTATCTCTCTTTTTACATTTATCTGTTTCTGCTCTCTGTCTCCTCAAACCAACAACACAACTTGCTTCAACTTGAGTGTCCTCTGGGAAAAGCATAGTTGTTATAGCTAGTACCTTACCAAAGGCCTCTGTCTTTAGAGCTCTGTGATCAAGATCTCACAAAAGCAAAATCTCTGAAGGAGGGGCCTGGGAACTATGTTATACTGTCAGCTTGGTGGAAAGAAAGCTTTTGAGATTTTATTGGTGGTTGAAAACATGCTATTATCCCACCTTTCTGTTGAAAATGATGGTCCCTCCGCTTTTGGACAATTAGAGCCACATGAATCTTGTCTACCGTTTAACAAAAACATGAGCCATTTATGTTAGTCAATGATAATCCGAGCTTACCTGGTGGGAGAGCGGTATTGAGCAAATGAGGCCTAGGCTACAAGTTGAAAGTCCTGTGTGGCAAGACTTCAGATTTCACTTCAAAACCCACTTTTTGTTTGTTTGTTTTCTTCTCTAGCCTCTTCTTCATCCACATTGGTTTGATTTCCTTCTGGGCCGAGAGATGTCTGGTTCTTGTACCTAGATGTCCCTCTGTTCTGCACATGTTCTTGCTTGTTGTGTTCTCAAACATCTTAATATATCTACTTGCGAAAAAAACATAACTTTTCACCTTGAGGCTACTTCTTAATGTTGGTCTCCATCAGTTGAGAAAATTCTGCATGTGAGCTCATACAAAAGCGGCTTGGAAAAAACGGACTCCCAAAATTTAGTCGCTGACTCCCAAATACAGTGCTCAGACCTCAATTGGGAGTCGTTTTTCCAAATGGATGGCTGACTTTGGGAGTCCGCCATCCATTAATGTTTGTTTTTTTTAAATTGGGAGTTGCTCCCACAGGACTGGAAGATGAAGCTGCCCTCTTGTCAAGGATTGGGGAGAAGTTACACTAAGAATTAAAGAAAAGGTTAAGAATTAAAGAAAAGGTGTGGCTATTTCTGTGGGTAATCTTAGTATGGGATTTATTACTGATGTATTGTAAAAGTCACCTGCTGAGAGATTGAGGATGTGGGGGATTCTGGTAAGGATGAGGCTCTGGGGGGTAATGGTTTCTGGGTTCAAATTCTTATCTTCTGGGGAAAATCAATAATAATTACTTCTGGTAACTATGTCTAGTAAGTGATTTCTGCTAAGGAATTATCTGTTTAATTCTCTAATTCAAGCATGGGGAACAAAGTAAGTGGAAAGGTGTAGTCTCTATATACATGTGGGTGGTTCTGATTAGGTACTAGTGGTAAGATACCAGCTGAAATGAGAATATGGTATGAAATAAGTTGTATCTGAAAGACAAGTGATTATGAAATAAATGTGGCTGACAAATTTGTAGTGTTAAATAAGTATTTTTGAAAAGATACAATATGAAATAACTTATGTATCTGAGAAAAATAATATGTAGTGAAAAATAAATGAGATACAGTCAACTCCCTATTAAGCCATACCCCTTGGTGGACATGTTTTGCTATGGGTTAAGGGAGAGTATGGATTAATAAGTCAAGTTTTTAGGTATTTTTCCCATTTTGGTGGACAAATTTCCTAGAAAAATATATGGCTTAAGAGGGGTTATGGGTTAACAGTTCATGGTTTAAGAGGGAGTCAACTGTAATAGGAACTGAAATAAATATTCTGAGGTGAAATAAGAAATCTGTGTGGTGAAATATATATGTAGGTGATATAAGCAATGTGTAATGAGTTGAAATGAGACAACCGTGGGCCGCTACACTAACCGTAGCGGTTAGTGAAGCGTAACACAGCAGAATTGCTGTTAGCGCTAAGCATAGCGTAGCGGAATTCTGCCACGACACCGCTAATGCTACACGTGTGGGCCGCAAAAAAGGGCCCACTACGCTGCGCTACAGCACTTTTTAGCGGTTTTTGGCTGTTTTTACCGCTAAAATCGCTGTAGTGCAGCGTAGCGTAGCAAAAAAACACTAACACTACACTTTTTTGATGAAAAAAGTGCCGCTACGCTACACTTTTTGGGCCAAAAGTGTAGCGTAGCATAGCGGCCCACCGCTGAATGAGATGTATATATGAAAGAAATGTAGTATGAAATAAATGTAGCATGAAATCAATTTACTATGATATAATTGTAGTATGAAATAATTTTGTATGAAATAAATGTTGTATGAAAAGAAGAGGATGATGAGTGATATGAGATGAGATGACAATATCTGGGATGAGGAAGCAGATGTATGGGATGAAATAATATATGTAGTCTGAATACTTAAGTGATATCTGAGATGAAATAAATAACATTTACTGAAAGATTATTATCATAGAAAGAAGGTAC